CCTTCCTCTTTTTTTTGTTGCTGGCGGTGTTCGGCGCTCGGGCCGCGCATTACGAGGTGAGTGGGGCCAGCGGGAGGAAATGTACACGAGCCGGAGTGAAGACCCGAGCACGGTGGGAAGGTGTGAGTGGGCCTGTTTTGTGGGTGTGTAGGGAATGGTTGCTAATATGACAGTGTGGTCTGAGTGCGTGCCTTGTGTCATTGAGAGGTTTTACTGCGCCTCTGAGGGTGAGGCTGGTTTTGACTGGACTCATCTGCCTGTCGGCTTATCTGAAGTTTGCATGCAGGTAACTGTGTGCGATTGGACGTGTAAGCAGCTGTGTGTGTGTGTCGGGGCGGGGGGGATTGGGGAGGGAGACTGGTTGAGAACTGGGACTCTGGACTCAGCCTGCCTGGAGTTCCCCTTTGTTACTGGCTCCTCCACTTCCTGGCTTCCTGACCGTCTGCAAGTCACATCACCTCTCTGAAACCTCAGTTTCCTCATTTGTAAACTGGGGATAATATTGCACTCACCTCCCAGCGTGGCTGCCTAGCATTTGCAAACGTTTAATAAACATTAGCTACTAATATTAGTTATGGAGTCCCTAGGTGATACAAATAGTTAAGCAGTCAGCTGCTAACCAAAAGTTTAGAGGTTTGAGTCCACTCAGAGGCACCTCGAAGAAGAAAGGCCTGGTGATCTATTTCTGAAAGAAAACCCTATGGAGTACAGTTCTACTCTGAAACACATGGGATCAATAAGAATCCATGTAATTGTTTTTTTTTTTTTTCAACTAATATTGCTGTTTTCCCAGGGTGTGAGTGAGAGCTGTTCTGTGGAGTTGTGTGAAGTGAGAGTTGTATCTGGGAGACAAGTGTGGGTGTGTCCTCCCTGGGAGGGGCCCGGCCTCCTCTGCACAGTTGGGCTCAGGTCGCAGAATCTCCAGCTCAGAATCATTTGCCTGGTAGATCAAGGCTTATCTTGTAGCCCATCCCCCCAACCCCATCATGCCTCTGATATGGTGTGTGTGTGTTTGGGGTCCCTGTGCAGATGTGCCCCAAGGTGCAGCCGGACATGCTCAACGTGCATCTGGTGGCCCACACACATGATGATGTGGGCTGGCTGAAGACGGTGGACCAGTACTTTTATGGCAGTGAGTAGAGAGTGGGGACGGGTCCCAGGGACTCCCATAGCCCCTCTGAGCACCTCAGATCCCCTGTGGGGCCTGGACATTGGGATGGGGCAATGCCCAACCTGGGCTCCTGTGTCCAGGAATGTCCCCCTTGCCCTCCTGGCCCTGACTGCCTGATCCCTGTGCCCGTAGTCCACAATGACATCCAGCACGCAGGTGTGCAGTACATCCTGGACTCGGTAGTCTCCGCCCTGGTAGCTGAGCCCACCCGCCGCTTCATCTATGTGGAGATCGCCTTCTTCGCCCAGTGGTGGCACCAGCAGACAAAGGCAAAGCAGGAGGTCGTGCGGGACCTGGTGCGCCAGGGTGAGCCTGCCCTCAGGAAGTTAAAAGAGGAAGCTGAGCCCAGCTTCCGTTTCTGCCACTCTGGCTTCTGAGATTATATCATGCCAAGTGCAGGCTGTGCATGCATGTGGTTCCGCATGTCTGGAGTCTCCCTTTATCTGGAGAACTTCTATGGATCCTGCAAGGCCCCATCTCCAGTGGCACCTCTGGGAAGCCTGCCATACAAGGGGTCCTCTGTCCCAGATCTGGCTACACTGGCCTGGGGGTAACCCCTCTTTTTCTAGGCCTGGGCATGCAGGCAGGTCCTCTCACCCCCAGCATCATCCACCTTGTCCCGACTGCTGACCCTTACTGTGGCCTTCCTGGAATAGGGCGCCTGGAGTTTGCCAATGGTGGCTGGGTGATGAATGACGAGGCAGCCACCCACTATGGCGCCATCATCGACCAGATGACGCTCGGGCTACGGTTCCTGGAGGACACGTTTGGCATTGACGGGCGCCCCCTTGTGGCCTGGCACATTGATCCCTTTGGTCACTCTCGTGAGCAGGCCTCACTCTTCGCGCAGGTGCTTTCTTAGATCCGCTCCCTCACTCGCTCTGACCCTTCCCACAGCCACTCAAACCCACCCTTTCACCGATCCCACACTGACCAGGCCGTGTCTCTGGCCCGTTGAGGCCCTGCCCTTTGGCTGAGCTGTGAATCCTGGTCCCTTCCCACTCTGACTCCAACCCTGCTATGACCCAGCCTCAAGCTGACCCGGCTCCAGATGGCTTTGACCCCTCCCTTGAGCCGTCCGTTGTCACACTTCGACCCCACCTCGCTTGCTATGATGCCGAATTCTCAAGCTTGGTGGCAGCCCGCCCTGCTTTTAAACTGGCTTTTTTACCTGTGCCCTGACCCAACCCCCTTTCTGTGCTCTAACCCATCCGCCTTCAGGATGCGGAAGAGGGATGGTCATCTTGAGTCAGGCCTTGCCCGTATCTGCTGTGACCAGGTTCCCTTTCCCAGGGGGAAGGTGGAGGTGGGTTCCCGCCCCCTCTCTCCTCTCCTGCAGTGGTTCTGACTCTTCCCCAAACTTGGGAATGTGCTGGAGACCTCCCTAGTTTCAGACCTGCTTTATACCTGTGGTCTGACCCACCCCTCCCAAGCTGGGCTTGAACTCGCTTGGTGATGAGAGGGGTGGGCACTGATTCAGACTGCTCTCTCTGAACACCAGATGGGCTTCGATGGCTTCTTCTTTGGGCGCCTGGATTATCAAGATAAGAAGATTCGGGAGGAGATGCTGGAAATGGAGCAGGTGTGGCGGGCCAGCGCCAGTCTGAAGCCCCCGGCCGCCGACCTCTTCACTGGTGAGCAGTTGGAGGCTGACCTCATGGGTGTGTGACCAATGTGGTCCCTGAGCTCAGAGGGCCCTTGCCCTTGATTTAATGCTCCGCTGTCACTGTCTTGAAATTCTCAATAGTTTATGATCAAGGGCCCAGCATTTTCATTTTGTACTGGGGCTCACAAGTTCTGCAGCCTGCCCCGGGTAGGGGATGGCAGGCTTTGACCCTAGGATAGGTCTAGGGTACTGGGCCCTCCCTGACCCTGGTATGGCCTGCAGGTGTGCTCCCCAACATGTACAGCCCACCAGAGAATCTGTGCTGGGACATGATGTGTGACGACAAGCCTGTGGTGGATGACCCCAACAGCCCTGAGTACAATGCCAAGGAGCTGGTCAATTACTTCCTGCAGCTGGCTGCTGCTCAGGTAACCCCAGTGTCCTGATCCTATAGGACTGATGTAGAGAATTCAATGTCCTTTCTATGGCCCAGTATTTCCTAACACCTCCTCAAAACCCTATGAGGACAGTACTGTCCCATTCGCCATCACCATGTCTTCCTCCGAGATTTGGGTGCCTTCCTGATCAGAGCATGCAGACCCCTTCCCCACTGCACACACTCCCCATGACCACGAAATGGCCTGGCACAGCGCCTCACTGCCCTCGTCTGTATGGTTGGCCCAAGGGAGCTCATGAACAACTGAATTTTATGTGTGTGTCCCTGTGCTCCCACGCGCCACCATCCGCTCTTGTTTTTTTTTTTTTTTTTTTTTTTGATTAATAGGCTTTATTTTTTTAGAGGAGTTTTAGGTTTACAAAAAAATTGTACAGAAAGTAGAGTTCCCACATACTCCCTGCCCCCCTGCACACTGTTTTATTGTCATCCACTCTTGCTCACATATATACCCAGGACAGAGCTGTACACAGGCGGTGGCCCAGGACACCCTGGCCTGAGGATTCCCCTGTCCCAACTGCAGGGCCAGCACTACCGCACCAACCACACCATAATGACCATGGGCTCGGACTTCCAGTATGAGAATGCCAACGTGTGGTTCAAGAACCTTGACAAGCTCATCCAACTGGTCAACACCCAGGTCAGCTTGCCCACCTATGGTGCCTGTGTGCACATGGGTGCTTGTTTCCCTGTGCTTTGAGTCATAGCTGTTGGTTCTGTAACAAATGCCCACACACCTATGGCCTAAAACAACAGAAATTTATTAGTTCTGTAGGTCAGAAATCCAACACGGGTCTCAATGGGCTAAAATCGAAGTATCAGCAGGATTACCTTTCTTTCTGGAGGCTCTAGAGGAGAATCTGTTAGTTTGCCTTTCCAGCTGTAAAGGCTGCCCGCATTCCTTGGTGGGTGGCCGCTTCCTCCACCTTCAAAGCCAGCAACACAGCATCTCTCTAACCCTGCCCTGTTGTCACATTTTCTGTCATGTCTGTCCTTTAACCTCTTCTGTTTTCTGCTTCCACTTTTAAAGATCTCTGTGATTTCGTTGAGTCCACCCGGATAATCCAGGATAATCTCGC